TCTTTCCAAAATCCAGGAACATTGCCACAGGTTGTAACCTCAGGCCAACCTAATAAAAGTCTTTAACACCAATTTCTTTCTTCCGTGGAATTTCACATCGAGGCAGTTTCAGGATGAGTGAAATCCATATAGTAAATAAACACATATAAAAAAGGAATTGGAGAAAAATGAAGTGATTGGTAGAAAACCGACACTGAGTATCTGTAGTGTTTTCCTATGGTCTCTGAGGGCTTTTAGCGCCTCCAGCAAATTTTCCGCACCTTGAGGGGAATTACAGTGCAATAAAATGTTAAGAGCATCACAGCTTTGAGCAGCTACACAGTAAGTTCTTCACCAAATAGAAAAGCGCAGGCACTTCAAAATGACAGCGCCTGCACCACTGCTCAGCTGCAGACCCGAAACCTTCTGCATACAAAATCAGCAGCCCTTCCCAGAGCGAGCACTACCCTCCTCGTTATTCCAGTGGTATGGAGCAATTAACGTCTCACCCCACATCACACAGGTAATCGAGGAGAGTAGGGTCTGTTCCAGTCCTGCTGAGGCAGGGTCTGGATTTCTGAGTTTCTTCTGTAGCCAGGAAAGCACATTTCCAGAGCAGTGAGAGACAGGTGTGCTGTGCAGAAGCACAGACCGAATTCCCTCTGATCTGGGATATTTGGAGCCTCTTTTTTCTGAGCGCATTAAGGCACAAGTAATTTTGTGGACCAGTCTCTCAGTATTTACAACCAAGCAACATCCAGCACAGAGGGAAATTCTCTTTCAGTGTGTTAGCGATCCCACCGAACGTAACCAAGTTACAGGATGGGTGTCCTGGGGCTTAGGGGGGACATCAGATCAGCTGAGGGAACCCGCTTTACAGAGAACTGCATTTATTTTGCCCAGAGTTGGCTTTCAAAGCCGGGAAGCACTGCACTTCAGGAGAGGGAAACTCAGGGCAAGATCTCCCAACAGTGTTTGTTATTAGGACAAGATTTTTTTTTTTTCTTTATTAAAAATATATCCTAGTTCCAATCCTCCCCAAGACAGCAGCTCCACACAGCCTCATCGACTGGGGAATAGGAGGGCAACACTTATCTAATGTACCCAGAGCACCCTCTGCCGTCTGCGCTTTCCCGCATCAATCCCAGTTGTCAGGGGAACCTCAGGGAGAAAGATCAACTATGCAAAACTCACCCTCTCTGGCAATAACATCGGCATCAATCACGGCACAGCCCAGTTCCCGGAGTACGGCCACCACCGTGCTCTTTCCCGATGCGATTCCACCCGAGAGTCCGACCAGGAACATTGTGCTCTGAAACAGAGAGAAAAGAGCTTGAAAACATTCCAGGACAGGGCTGTTTTGTTCATGCTGTGCACATCGAATATTTATCCCAAACAGGCAACTTCATTGAAAGCTCATTTTCATACGTTCTCAGGGCATCACTGAGACATTAGCACAATTTTGGCACCTCTCAGCTCAGTACCCCTGTTTTACAGGCTGAAGAGCAGTGTTGGGTTAAATGAGGCTTCCCTGGACCCTGCTAACTCTGGATGTGCAACCTGAGCCAGCCCTAAGTTCCTCCAGCTGGTTTACCTGCAGCTCCACCCAACTTGTTTCCCTTTTAACATCTGCACCCATCAAGCCAGTCTCACCTACAGTACCCTAAATCAGAGGACATTTCTGGCAGGGCTGTCAAGGGTGACTCAGGATCAGTGACAAAGGGGAAGAATTCAGACAACATCTCAGCCTGGACCAAGAAATGCGAGGACTGAGAGGGAGAGCCCTGCCTGATCTCTACAGCCAGGGTATAAGAGGAGATAAGCTACCTCTGACATAAGCAGGATGCAAAGCACACAAGCCAGTAAGTAAATTGCATCCCCACGCTACTTGGAAGCCAACACAGTCATTGACAGCCCAATGGATGGAAGAAATCATGGCTCTGAGCAGCAAACTTGTGTCTGTTAGCTTGCAAACATGGCACTAAATGCAGAGTCTGTGCTTACCAATGGCCTTGAGGCTGGGAGGGTGCAGGTAACCCCCCAGCCGACCCAGAGCACACGACTTCTCTTACAGTTTCTGTACTGAGATCTCTCCCCACTCAGTCCAAACCCTGCAACCCTCTAAATCCCACTTGCACCCTTTCAAAACCAAAAGGCTCAGCAACGCAGAGGCAGCTCTGGACAGGAGTGGGTGCCCCTGTGAGCAAGGTGGTACCTGCATCCCCAAAAAGGCAACACCCACAGCAGGCTGGGAACAGACCCCAGCGTCCCCTCTCCAGCCTCCACGGACCAACATCAGCCCCAGCCAAGGGCGTTCAGGGCTTTGTGCAGCCAAGCCCTGCAAAACCCCAAGGACAGAGGCCCTGACTTTGCCGTCACCTTGTCCAGGGTGATGCCACCCTCATGGGCAAGAAGCCTGACCCTCCCAAGCCCCAGCTTGTGGCTGTTGCCCCTTGCATCTGAGAAGAAACTGGCTCCACCATCTTTGGCCAGGAGCCACAAGCTGCTGGTAGACAGCCCTCAGCTTCCTCTTCCCCAGAGGAAGGGAGACCTAGCTCCCACCATCTCTCCCAGCAAGCCAAATACCCTAAAGCCCACTGATCTCAGTAACCATTGCTCTGCCTAACCTGGTTCTGGTGTCACACTCCTCCCCAGACACCATGGCCACTAGCCCCCCAAAAAACTCTGCACATACAGGAACCAGGTACCTACTGCTGTACTGTCCCCCACGAACAGGGACCGCGCCACTTTGCACCCAAGGGCAGCAGCTAGGAACACGGACCTGCAGGACGGCTGAAGATGGCCGAAAACACAGCACTGCTTTCTTTATGCTAGAAAAAAAAGACACTTTTGTCATAACTTGATCCTACAAACAGGACCCAGACCCACGGTCTGGGGGGGGAAGAGGAGGTGGGCAAGTCCTGTGGCAGCTGGAGGCAATTCAGCAGAGGGAGGAACCAGGAGTTAGAGCAAAACCCAGCAGCACCTGCCACGAGCGTCGCAAAGCGACTTTGCTTTATGGCTGCCGAGAGCCGATGCCAGCCCGCAGCAGCACCACATGCTCTTTTCCATTCCAAGACACCAGGTGAATGGATCATGTTAACTCAATGGGGTTAACTTGAGCAACAACAAGGGGGAATTCAAAAGGAATCAGAAAGGGCATGTATAATAAACACCAGTGGTTTGCAGGAGGCTTATGTAAATCCCAAGCTCTGTTGCCAAGCAAGTACCCAGTGCCTATGGGGAGCCTTTCCTGGCTTGGCGCGACAGAGGGGCTGTTTCTCTATTTATCGCAGAAGGTTAAAATTCTGTCCTCCCCGGCAGGATTTTATACACCCTCTGCAACAGCCTGCAAGGGCTAACCCTGCATGAGGAGAATCAGGCCCTTGGCGTGCTGCCTTGCAGGGGTAAAGGCTCCACTCACATGTTTTTTAAAAATACACATAAAAAACTCTCCTGCCCCTGTAGAGTAAATACAGGGTTTTAACTGCAGTAACCCAGACGCTCTGGCTTCCAGCCTCAGCTGGGACTTGGTCCCAAAAAAACCTGCTATTTCTGTCCCTCCGTTACATACCTCTGCAGGCAGGCGGCTTGCTGTGAGAATTACTGCAGGGGTAAAAGCACTTGGAAGGGTTAGTCTAGAAACCACGGCCAAACAGGGCTTGAAAACACTTGTGCTGTCACAGGGCCTGTACAGATATAAGATTCATGGTATGAGGTATAAATATTTAACGAGCTTGGGTTTGAACTGTACACAAGGGTAGAGAGTCCAGCCCATTCCTGCAGATGTTACAGAAAGGAGCCAGAACCAGTTTTCCCCAAAATACACCATATTTTGGTGTATGTGGCCTGCGCCAACTAAATCAAATGTGGGGAAAGCCAAAACGCGAGCCATAGAGGGTAGTCAGAGTGGAAAACTCGGCAAGTTATTCCTGCTGTGAGGAATGGTGCCCCAGGAGATGTAACCCAGAGCCCTGAGGAACCGGCTTTTAAAGACTGAGGTGCCCGAATTTTCCCCGTGTCTCAACTCCTCTGGTTTTTGAGCACAGCGCAAGTCGCTCGCCTCAAGGCATCCATCCAGCACGCCACAGGGCTGAGGACCGAGCCGAAAGGCGTCCTCCAGCACCATGCTACAGCCAGCCCTCCTCCAGCTCCCATCCTCAGCTCTGACTGGGGCCTGGCACAGCATGTTGACAGACCTGGTGTTTGGCTTGAGGAGGCTGCAATTAAAAGGAAAAATCATAAAATACATCGTTACCTCGGTGGGGAAAAAACCACCACTGCAACTGTCACCACAAACCACCCCCCGGGCCTTCCGGCTGGTACCGAATCAATCCCCCTGTACTGATGTTTTTTGCCGGGCAGGGTCCTGACTGCACAACGGCGCTTTCCCGGTGGTCCCCCCGCCCTGGCCACCCCCCGCGGCCTCCCCAAGCCCGGGGCCTGTGACACGGTCGGGGGTGGGTCAGGCTGGGCCGCCCCGAGCGAGGGAGGGCCGCGGGGCAGAGCTGGGGAGCGGGGCAGGGCCGGCCAGGCTCCGGGGGGACCGCCCGCACCGGGCCGAGCCTGGCGGCCGCCCGCAGACACCGAGGGCCGGAGCGGGTCCCCTCACGGTGCCCTCACCCACTCACCCTCGGCCGGGCTTCAGGCGCGCCGCAGTGTCCCGCGCGCCTATTGGCTGATGGGAAGCCGCGTCCCTCTCCCAGCCAATCGGAGCCGCCCTCATTGGGTTCGTCCCGCCCCCTCGGGCAGGAAGCGGGTGAGGGCGCGGACACCGCGACGGCGGCGGGGCCCGGGCCGCGGCTCTCCGCCACGGCGGGTGGCTCCGCACGGCTGCCCCGGTGTGAGCGAGCCCTTCCGCCCCCGGAGCCCCGCCCCGGGACGCCCCCGAAGGCCGACGGGAACTGCAGTCCCGGTCCCGGCGCGGCCCGGCCCCCGTGTGCCCGCGCAGACTACCGGTCCCGGCATGCCCCGCGGCCCGCCGCCCAATCGCGGCGCGCTTTGTTGCGGGGGTGCGGCAGGCGCCGAGGCCCCGTTTCAAGATGGCGGACGATGGTGAGACAGCAGTGAGGCGGCCACCGGCGAGGCCTCCGCGGCCGTCGGCGGAGGAGAACGACCACGAGCACTGCAGCGACTGCGAGAACGAGGCGGAGCACGGGTCCAACCGGGGGTGAGCGCCGGCCGGGGCCGCCCGCCGCGGCGGCGGCCGGGCCCATTGAGGCGGGCAGCGGCCGGGAAGTGAGCGGCACCCCGCCCTACGGGCGCGCTGATTGGCCGCCAGGCAGCTTCCCGCGCTGCGATTGGTCGAGCTGCCCGTCGGTCTGGCGGGGGGGAGGGGCCCGCTGGCTCCCATTCACGCCTGTTGTGGGAGCGTGTCCCGAAGCTAAGCAGGGTCGGGCCCGTCCGTGCCGTGATGGGTAACGGCCTGCGCGGTGTCTGCGGGGCAGCCAGAGAGCGACCGCGAGTGCCTTCTTTTGGCAGAAATGAGCCCAGTTCGCAGCTCTCCTTATCCTTGCGTCAGGGTGTGTCTCCCCACAGTCCCCCGGTCCTCCAGCACGAACCCCGTCCCCCTCCCGGCATCTCCAGCACCGCGGTGGCACCCGGGGCGGTGGCATGCTCGGGCACGTTGTCCCGCTCCCCGGAGGCTGTGGCCTCCCACCGCCATCCCTGCGCCCTGGAAGAAGGCCAGGCTCCTTGCACGCCCGTCCCGTCGTTTTCCTAAACGCAGCCCAGGGTTTTGCAAAGCTCGGCCGATGGCGTCCAGAGGTATGAAATGGTGAAACAGCAACAATTAGTCTGGGAGTGACCGCGCACGGCAAGGCAGGTCCTTGTCTACGTAGGAGAGATCTAAAATCCCTAACGTAGTACACGTGCTACTCACTGCCTTAATTAATAAGGCACAGAGCTGCCTCACCGTGCCTGTGGTTTGCAAGAGAGGCTTCGTCCTCGTTCCTGCTGGCTTTGCATGCAGCAGGGCACGTCATCATGTGGCTTATGCCACATCGCGGATTTCCAGAGTTTTCTAGAGGTTTTGCACCTTGTGCGTCATGCACCTGAGCCTCACCGGCCTCCTTTTCCTGCTCACCCCATGCCCTAGCAGCTGCTTTCCCAACCCTGTGAAGCAGAGACCGTCAGCTTAAAGAGCTCTTCTCCCTCCATCGGCAGCTTTTCCTAGGCAATCCCGCCTGTCCGGTAACCAAAGTGAATAAAAGGTCATGCAAGAAATATCACAGAGGCTTTTTTTATGACAGCACAGATGCCCGTTTATATTTTATTTGCCTCCCGGGTGTGGCACCGTGTCTCAGTTTAATAGGTTTAGCCGTGCTTGGGGAGATTTTTCTTTTCTTTCCCTCTGACATGATTAGGTTTGTGGAAACCAGAGCCAAGCAGAGAGGAGACACGGTGCTTAATCACCGTTATTTCCCAGCCGAGTAGCTCAGCCTGCCCTTTGCCAGGAAAAGGTGTGTTCTTGAGCCCTCGTCGTGTCTTAGCATGGGCACTGTGTCACCTGCAACCCTGAGGAGTTAAAGTGCAGTTACCTGCCTGGACTAGCTTGAGCGTTGAAGTGCAGCAAGCTAACCGGGCAGCCTGGGAAAAGTCCAGTAACAAATACACCTAGAGAGTTTGGATTGCTCGGGAAATAACATTAAAAGTGTGGCTGATGGGCACAGCGATAATGAGTGCAAGCCAGGGAGGCTTTGGAACCGTCTGGCAAATCTCCTGTCCTCCCCAAAACTTAATGGAGGATCCATCTAGGAGAGAAAAGACCAAGCAGTAGGAAAGGTGGTGGTTTTCTTTCTTGATGCACATTGGTTCCGTTGATTTTTGTACTGTTTTGTTATGCTGGGATGTGGGAGTGTTTCTGGTCACCCCAGCTGAATGCCATCCCGAAAAACTGGGCAGGGGAAGTGCCTTGAGCTGCTGAGGTTTGCAGAGCAATGCTCAGAGTCCTGCCTCTGCCCAGTTTGTGTTAAGCGTCACTGGATCTTGGCTCTGAGATTTAAAACATAAAAGTGCTACTTAGCGAGAGCAATACTTCCTTTCCTTTTAAGGACAGGAAAGAGGAATTGAGTTTCCTCCATTCGGTCCCGTGTCAGCACTGGGAAATGGCTGCACCGCTCTCCGCTGCAGCTGTCCAAGTTGATTTCCCAAAGAAAAAAAATCCCACTTTCATATTTGTTGCAATTTCCTTTGTGCAGAGAGGGCTTCTGTTGTGTCTCCAGTGTCTGTGGAGGGTTTATTACCATTGTAGATAGAAGACTGGAAAGGTAGGGACACCGGCACGGGCTTTGCTCCCTAGAGCTGCTGCGAGCCCGGTGGGATTTGTCAGTTCACAGGCAGTGAATGTCACTTGAGTGTCCCAGCCCCGTGAAATGTGTCTGTTCTTGGCAAAACCACCTGGGAAAAGTGGGTTTGGGTGCAAAAAGTTTGGGGACAGTCCTGTGTCGTGAACTGGGTTGTTGCTGGATGGGGTGTGGGGAAAGCAAAGGGGCTTTTCTTGGTGGGACAGCAGGCAACTGCCTGGTTTGGCAGTCCTTGCCTGCACTTACACCATGAGAGGATGTTCCTGGGACAACCGCTGTGCTCTAACACGCAGAATTTAGTTTTAGGTGTTATATGGAGCACAGTAATGGCACACTCTGCTTCAGGACCCATGCTCTGCCATCTGCAGAGCCTCCCTCATCGCTCTGTCCCCTAATGAGATTACAGCCTAAGTACCGCACCCGATTAGCCCCAGGTTTGGCAGGAAGATTTTCCAGCACCTAAATATGGAGCAGGGATCTACTATTTCTCATCTGACACCTTTCAGGCTAGGAAGCAAGGCTGTGCAGTGGAGGAATTGCAAACTGCACAAGCCCTTGCCCGAATCTGCATTTCCAGTTTGGGTTTTGAGGAAGAACGAGCAGTGTTTGGTTGGTACCATTTGCTATCGTAGGTGTGAGATGGTCTGAGAGCCTGAGCATGGCATTTCAATTTGTGTAATGAAAGACACTTTTTGATCGCCGCAGTGTGTACGCTACGGGAAATAACTCCCAGCCTCTGCCATCTAAATCCCCCCATGCTGACCCAGAGCTTCCCACTGGGCTTCAGGAGCTGAGGGAGCTGCGGGGAGCCAGCCGCAGCTGGAGTTGTCCTCCCTTGTGCTTTCTTCCCCCACCTTGCAAAAATAAAGCTCTCGGATCTGGGAATACAGCAGGAGCACGTATAGATCCAGGTGATAGATAAGTGGGTGCTGAGCACCAGTTTGTTACTGGATGCGTCTGGTGTTTGCCAGCCTCCAGAGGAGCTGAGCTGGTGGAGGACAGTCAGTCTGAGCCCACCCGGTTTATTCAGGTACTTCCAAAAGTGTATTTTCTAGATTGCTCAGGTTATGGGTATTATTTTCTGTATCGTGGTTAGCACCAGCTCCTTTCACTTGAGCTCCAGGAGCCATCCAGTAGTGGGGAAGGGGGGTTGCAGCAAAAGGTAATGGCCATGATGGCAGCAATGCCTTTCCCAGGAGAAGGGAGAAGTGTTTTCCTTAGTCAGAAAGTGGACTGCTGCAATCCTGCAGGTAATCGGAAGACGTTCCGCATAGCGCAGCCAACGCGCCCTTCTCCACCCGCTTTATCTCTCAAAGCAGCTCGAGCTGGAAAGGAGATACAGGAGGAAAAAAGCCATAAGTACAGCCAAGGAGGGCCATGGGCTGGACAGGAGCTGGCCTGGCGGTTAACCCTTCCTGGGGGGTGAAACCAGTTTCAGCCCTTGCAGCTTCATGGGTAACATCAGCTATGGTAGCTGGGATTTTGGATGGTGGTGGCTCATCCCAAGACACCAGTAGGACATTGCCGTTAACTTGGGGAACATCCGAGGGGCTGCAGCTACACTGGAGCATAAAGAAGAAGAAATTTGCTTTCTTAAATGGACTTTAAAAGAGAAAATACCTATAATTGTTGCTTCCCTAGGTGTAGCGAGTTGGACCTTCTGGTTTTCCAGCATTTTCCTACATGCTGGTGATTCCTCTACTGGGTTGGTTTTCATCTCCCAGCTGGAGCAGAGCCCTTCCCCACGCCACAGCACCTGGGAATGCAAAACCTCATCCCACCTTATGCCACCCTGATTTCTTCCAGGTCACGACAGCTTTGCTCATAAATCAGGGAGGATTTTTCTCAGTGCTTTTACCTGCGAGCCCGGTGTGGGGGTGAAGTGATATTGGTTGGGCTGAACTCATTAGCAGCAAGCTGGGAGTTGGCAGCTCTGATTTATGAAGCAAAGCAATGCCGACTGAATACACAGGGGCTGGGAGGATTTTGTTTGTCGCATCTGACACCCGCAACATCCCGACGTGGAGGTGACCTGGGAAAATGTGTCCATCCCCCGTGGAAGGGGCGGCTTCCAGCGTCTGCTCTCGGATATGCTCACAAACCTGCCTCGTGCCATCAGTTTGTGGTGTTAAAATTGGCAAGAAATCAGTTGGATGTGTTTATTGCAGCTCCACAGTGGATGGTTTGGCTCATCCCAGGACCTCAGAGTGGCCATCCTGGCTGGTTGGGTATCTGCCAGGTCTTGCCCGTGCTCCTCTGCAAGGAGTTAAAAAAAACCCATCACACATTTGTCACTAAAATCAATAGCGGTGTCGGCACCGCTTTGCCGTAATTACTTTTGCTGTCATGTCAGAGCTCACGTCTCACTGGGTGGAGGTAAAGCCCTTACCCGGTGGTGGGAGGAAAGGTGAGATGTACCGCCCCCCCGGGAACAGTTCAGCAGCGCCGTGGGATGCTGATCTGCACAGAGCTGCGGCTTCACGGCTGCTCCTCTCTCTGCTCTGCTGCAAGCACTTAGTGTGCCTCTGGAGAAGAGGGGGGCTTCTCATCAAGCCCCCTTTTGTGGAGCAGCTCATCCTGCGCAACTACTTGTTCCCTGTGCAGGTGAGCAAATGCTTGCTGTTTCCAAGCATTTTGCATGGGGCTCTGCCAATAGATGGGAATCTTTTTCCCCAGCAAATGCCATCTGCAGAGTCTCTGCTGCTGTTCAGGTTTTGTCCGGAGGAAAGCCTTCCCCAGCTCAGCTGCTCTATGTCCTGCAAACCAGAAGTCTCTGCTCCGCAGGGCGATGGCTGCCCGTCACGTCAGGTTTCTGCTCCGTGAGTGTCAGTGGCCTTGCCGTCCGCAGGCTTCTCTACACCCAGCCCCTCCCAGCTTCATCCCTCAAAAAAACCATTTCTCTATCCACTTTTCCCTGCTTTCAAAATTCATTTGCTGCTCAGCCCAGGGATTTTTTTTAAACTTATTCCTCTCCCAGCTCTCTCCTTTTCTTGGCCTTGCTGAAATAAATAGTTGGATGCTGCTCCAACATATTTTCCAGTGTGTTTTTTTCTTTCCTTTCCCTGCTCCACCCTCTTTGCTGCTATCTTGTGTTTGGTAAAGACATTAAGCCGGTCCAGGAGTAAGCAGCACTCGGAGCAGGGGTTCCAGGCTGGCTGGTGCCTTTGGTTTACCGTCTGCCTCTGGGCAGATCAGAGCTGTGCGGTTGTCCCTGCTGTGAAAACAGCAGTCGTTTTGGGGCTGCAAGGAAGGAGCCACCTCTATATTGTAGAGTAAAAAATATACTGGCTTGGATCCCTGAGCTGAGATTTGGGGAAAGAAGAGATTGAGGTCCCCAGGCACAGGAGGGCAGGGACGCATACCACAGTATCTGGGCTGGCAGGGTGTCCCTGGGGCAGGCCCAGTCCTGCAGAGCTCGTACTGGTTTCCAGCCAGACCTGCTCTGGTGTGGGCGATGGTGCGCGCCGGTGGTGGGCTTTGTGGTTGTATGTGCTGTGGATGTGCCACTTGATGCAAAGAACAGCTCCCAGCTGGGATCCTCCATGGCTCCATCCTCTCCCCGTTGAGCCAGACAGAGGTTATGGTGCTCAGTGAAAACAGAAGAGGAAAGGTGCTGTGGTTTTACTGCAAAATAAACTTGGCAGTGCTGACAGAGACAGCGCAGAGCTGAGCGACACTGGTGGTGTACGCACTGTCCGCCACAACTTGCTTTGCAGAAGATCCCTTATGCGTGTTGGACGCTGGCAAAGCACCCCTGGCCCGGTGTCCCCCCTTTCTCCCTCTCATCCCTCTGCTCGGTCCCACTTCACCCATCTCTGGGGTTGAATTTCCACCTGAGCCACGACCCTCTTGGACACTGTAACGTTGTTTTGGGGGCTGTTGGCAGGTCACAGCTTGGGGTCCTCCAGCTCCGCAGCAGTAGCATTGCCTGCCCTGCATTGGGGTATCTCACTCAGGGGTAAGATCACATATGCCATGCCAGGAGTAGGCACCTCTCCTGTGTTTTGGTGTCAGGTCGCTGCCCTGGACTTGCCCATCAGCGAGGCCAGGCTTGGTGCAGGGTTTCATGCCTATGGCTGCTTTGGGGTGATCATCATCTGGATGTCTGGGGCTGCCCTGCATCCATGAAAAGAGGAGCAATGCCCTGGCGCAGGCACTTCCCACCCTGCGCTCCCAAAGAGATTTGCTGCTTGATCTCAATTTTCCAGCTCCAGCATAACAATATAATAATTTTCTAATATAACAGCCACCGTCTCCCTAGATCATCACCTCTGCAGGTTGGGTGACAGTTGGTGCAGTGACCTTGGCCACTGGCCCCTCCATGGCACCTGGAACTGCTGTGGTGCCTTATCTCCAGGTCTGGATCAGCATTTGCTGCTCCCACGTCCATCCTTGGGCTCAGAGAAGAGGAAAATCCCTACACTGGGCATTGCTGCCGCTCCATGGGGTGGATTTGGGCATGTGGGGCTGAGCAGGGTAGTGTGACGACAAAAATACAGTCACCTGCAGTGTGGGGCTCACTCCCCACCGCTGAGCAAACCTGCAGGGTGGGAGATGTTGGTGCTGGTCTGCTTTTGGGAGGTCACTGCTGGGAGGGATGCCAGGGAGAGGACACGTGGCTGCACCCCCCGTGCACCTTGTATTCCGCCTCCTGGAGCCTTGGACTCAGAGCAGGGAGCTTGTGTTTTCTTTAGAGAGCTTCAGAAACCCTATAAATGTTCTCCAAAAGAAAACCCCAAGGCTCCAATGATGTTTCTTTTGTTCCCTAGCGGCTTGAGTCCAGCAAATGACAGCGGAGCCAAAAAGAAGAAAAAGAAACCCAAACGGAAGAAAGAGAAAGGAGGAGATCAGCCCGACCAGGCTCAGGATCAGTCAGTGAAGGTGATCGACCCTTTCCTGGAGTCGCAGCCCTGCACAACAGTCAGCCCCATCCTGAACGGCTCCAGTGTAGCTTAGGGCAAGGAAAGAGTCTCCTGCTCCTGGTTTTAGGCACTTGGCTGCTCAAAAAACTTAAGATTTAGAGTAATTTCCCAGCCTGGCTCTGTGCGTGGGAATTCCCATTGCTGCGGAAGGTGTTTGCGAAGTGCTCCAGGGTAAATGCGGTCCTTGGCTGGATATCCCAGCCAGTTCCTGCATTGCGGTGAAAGGGTCAGACTGGCGCCTCCGAGTTATTCTTTCCAGACACCAGCTGCCTCCTTGCAGGCAGGGAACCGCCACTCTGCCACCTGCCAGCTTCCTCTCCTGCCCACAGCCAGCACAACGAAAGCATTTTGCTATTCTTGGGCGACATCTGATGTTGTTGATTTTTGCTTGATTAACATAAGAACAGCGGCCGGGTCAGAGCAGGGTCTGTCTTACCCCTCTCGGCTTTGCCTGATCCTGACTAGCAGCTGGTGCTTCGTGAAGGACCATGGGACATGCAAGGTTTGTCCCTCCCAGCACTGGCAGTCACCCCTCTTGTCCCCTCTGGTCCTGTGGCAGGGGACACACACACAGATCTGCACATCAACAGAGGCTCTTTTCTGTCTGATGACCAGCGCCCATCCAAATATTTCTAATATTTTGTCCTTCTGACTGTGCAGAGCATTAAATTGGGGCTTTGGGTGTTTCAAACCAACTTCACTTGGAATTGGAGAGGAGATGGGGTTGTGAATTCAGCGCAGAGCTGCCCACTCTGCCAAGGTCTCCCTGGGGAGGACGAGGAAAGTGTCTTTCATCTTGACTCTGCCTCTCTGCCTTGTCCTGGTCTGCGGTGCTCAGGGACTCCTCTGGAAGCTGCAGTTTGCAGATACAGATCCAGCTTAGATGGAGGAGGCTGAAGCAGTGAGAGAAAAGCCACCACAGAAAGCCCAAACGCTGGGTGTGGGTTGACCCAGGATGTCTCTGCATGGGTGTTAGCCAAGGTGAGGCAAGGAGGTTTGCTCCTGGGGCTTGCAGCACCCTCTTAACTGGAGCTTAAAGCATTTTAAGGCAGTTCATCCATCTCCTTTGACCCAGGAGTACCTAGAAACCAGGTCTAGGTGTGTGGCAGGTGGCTGGTAAAAGGGTTCATCCATCTTGTAGAGGGTTACAAGAGGACCTAGGCTGGGAAGGGAGTCTCCTGCCCACTGTCCCCTTCCTGGCAGCACCCTGAGGCAGGGTTAGCTCCAGGTTCCCCTAATGAGAAGCTGAAGTACAGACCTGGTGGCACAGCTTACTCATTTTGTCTTTCCGCCCTCCTTTTCTGCCCTCAGGTGAACTCTTTACCTGCTGAGAGGATCCAGGAGATTCAAAAAGCCATTGAGCTCTTCTCTGTAGGTCAAGGCCCTGCCAAAACCATGGAGGAAGCCAGCAAGAGGAGCTACCAGTTCTGGGACACGCAGCCGGTGCCCAAACTAGGTACGTATAGCCCCTCGCCGTTTTGTGCTCCTTAGGAGAAGCCTTGTGGTCCCCAGGCTGCTCAAAGAAGCCGGTCTCTGGCCAGCAAGCAAGTCCCTGGACAGCCCCTCACTGATGTCCTATCTGGGCTTCCAAGGCATCAATGACACTTCTCCACCATTCAGCATCATGGACTAAGTGGCCAGCCCTGCCGCTGGAGAGCTGTACAGGCAGCTGGGGGGGGGAAAGAGGGACGAGGAGCCATTTCAGACATCAGATTTGATGCCTCCTGCATTTGGGCATCCCTTAATCTCAGGCTTTAGCCCTTGAATTGGGTCTCCCCAGCCCTCTATGCCCAAGGTTCATGTGGAGTGTTGCCACCCTTCCTCTTGCCAAGTTCTAGGGGACTTGGAGCTAACCAGCTCTCCCCTTTCTGGGGGCTGAAGCTTCCCAGGAGGGGTCCTTGGTGGGGAAGGTAACTCGGGGCAAGACAGGGCCAGCCAGTGATGGGAGCCACTCAGGGAAGCAGGTCCATGTGCTGAGCTGCCACATTGTTGGTTTGCTGGGTCACACCAGCCTCTGGCATGGGCAGGCACTGGGGCTGAGCCAGGAGAGCTGGGAGAGGAGAGGCACAAACCTCACAAGCATCTGCACCCCCAGGCTGCCATGACCATCTAAAGATCAGGAATACTATCTCTTTGTCCCCTCTTCCCCCTGCAAACAGCCTGGCTGTGCTTCCCAGCTCTAGGCCTTGCTCCAGTCCTTTCTCCAGTTTGCTCCTGATGCTCTCAGCCTGCATCAAAAGTGATCTGCTGTCAGTAATGAGGCGTTTCTCAGTGTGGCAGCAGTGCTTGGCAGCTAAGCAGACCTGAAAGGAAGAGGGGTGCACTGCCGCAGAGCTGTGTGGCTGGAAGGCACTCATTCCTGAGCTAGTTGGAGCAAACCTGCAGCGCTCCTAGAGTGCCCAGGATTGCTTTGCTTAGTCTCTCCGTCCCTGCATCCCCCAGCAAAATCCATGCAGAGCTCAGGAGATCTAGCGAATGAGTCCGAGCCCATAGTTTCTAGATTTACCCGAAGCTTGTTATGGCTTCAGATTAGCTGCTCTTCAGTAATTTTCTTCATGGGGTTGTGTCCGACCCCTCTTGCTGCAAACGCTATTTGATTCCATTTTCATGTTGTCAGCACCAGTCTGAGGCTTTCTTTGGGTCTCAAAGACTGTTTGCTGAAGCAATGGTTTCAGCTCTGTGCTGGGAAAGTCATAGTGAGATGGCATAGGGTTAGGTGAGACAGCAAAGCCTGATCTTGCATTTGCCCTTTTTCCCAGAGGATCCTGGACATGGCAAACATCATTTCTGCTTCTTCTTGGAAATGAGAGGCACAAAACAGCCCGCTCCTCCGCACACCAAATTTCTGGCTGTTCTCTGGCTGCCAGCCACTCACTGGGTCCCAGCGTCTCTGGTGGTCCTTGCTCAGGAGCACACTCTGGCACACAGCGTTACATACACGAGGCTATTTAGGGTCAGGTAACAAAAGTGCTGTGGGATTTTTAGAGCCAGATTTCAGAGTGGTTCAGCACCTGCTCAGAACAGAGAGGACGGCCAGGGGTGAGCATTTCTGGAAGCTGCCCTTGGTGGGTGTGATGGGGGCAGTTCTTGCTCTGGGCTTTCTTCCCCTCCCCATTGCCTGGAAATGTTTTCAATCCCTTTTTAAGGGAATTCCTAATTAGCACAGCTTGCTTCTCTTGGCAGCACTCAAGTGATGCCGCTGTGTTGACATCCCCAAGAAAGCTGGTGCTTTAGCCGAAATCTCTTGGCTGACTTGGGGGCTTTAGGAGTCAGTGTTTTTTCAACAAAAGTTGTCTTGTTCACTGCAGCTCTTCTTTAAGCACAGTGGGAAGGAAACCCTGATGCTTGCCAAATGGCAGAGGCCAGAGCTGGCAGGGAGAGAGCCACCATCTGATGGTGTGGCTCATGGAAAAGTGCTGGCCAAAGCTGGGACTGTAGGGATGGGGAAGGATAAGGCATTGCATATGGACCTGGAGGACATAGCTGTGGCCCTGAAGCTCTGATCAGTTTGGTCACCTCCTCTCTGCTGCCTGATCAGCTCCACCATTGCCGTGGAAGGGGTTTTAATTCTCTGCCCCTGTGTCACGGCAAATGTGTGGCACATCCCAAACTGGGTGGGTGCAATGGTGATCACTGGCTGCCTGCACCAGGGACCTGGAGTGGGTGACATGAGGCATGTTGGTTGCCAGATTGAGGTGTTGGGGACTTGGCCTCAAACAGTAAAGTGCATCTTCACATCTCCCTGCTCTCTTACAGGAGAAGTGGTGAACACCCATGGTCCTGTTGAGCCAGACAAAGACAATATCCGTCAGGAGCCATACACCTTGCCCCAGGGCTTCACCTGGGATGCCCTGGACCTTGGGGATAGAGGCGTGGTGAGTACCAGCAGCTTGGCACACACATGTTAGGTTGGCGTCTCCATTGCCTGTTGGCAGTTCCATGCTTGGACTGCCAAAGATGCTTCTGGGAATGGGAACGTGTCCCTTACCACACCAGGCAACTCTCCAGCTCAGTGGTCGCATCACCTCCGTGGACTTAGGTGGGTCTGACTTCTCCCACCGTGCAGTTACCTCTCACCCATCCAAGGCTGGCTTGGTTTCTTCATGTGGATGAACAGGGACTTCTCCACATGCTCTTTAAGTGTAAGGATGCCTGAAGCCAGGAGTTTTCCCTTTGGAAGACCCTCCAGACTGTGACCCACCACCCTGGGATGTGACCTGAGGGCAGCCGGACTTAACCTGTATGTCCTGCTGCTTACCCCCGTCTGCAGTGGCACCGGTTCAGGAGCCCAGAGCAGGGGAACATGCCGGTAGCAGGGACATGGCTCCACATGGCGCCCATTGCTGTGGCCACACAAAAAGTATTCACGGTCCTGTCTCGGGGCAGCTGGGTCGTGTGATGGCTGAATAACTTTCTTAATCTGCTTGGTCTCTCCTGCTTTAGCTGAAAGAGCTGTACACACTTCTGAATGAGAATTACGTGGAGGACGATGACAACATGTTCCGGTTCGATTACTCTCCTGAGTTCCTGCTGTGGTGAGTGGCACCACAACTGCGGAGCAGAGGGTGTTGGATGCTGGCAAGCCTGATCCTAGTGACAGCGCTGCAGCTGCCTTTGCTTATCCCATCTCACTTCTTTCTGAAATCTCCGTTCCCCATCTGTCACCGTGCGTGTGTGCAGTGTCCCAGGTACACTGCAAGAGGGGTCTCTTGCCCAGCCCTGCCTGGCTCTGGCTTCTTTGAGATATGGGAGCCTAAACCAGGATTTTTCTCCTCTCTGGTTTGGTCCCTTGAGAGTTTGTAAAAATCCCGGTAGCTGAGGAACTTCTCAGCGCCCTGGAGCTGTAGGATGAAGGCGGCTGCCAAGTAATGTTGCCAGCAATAACACCTGGAGACCTGTTGCAGCGGAGCTGCTGTTTCCTCAGGGTGTTCATGAGTCGAGGAACACGGATTTATTTCCTCCTGTGTCGCTAGTGAAAACTGGCCTTGGCCACAGAGTGCAGGAATTGCCCTGGATCCCAGCAGTCCTGCCTTGTCACATCACTGTCACCCTCTCGTCCTCCTGCCTGCAAACCCACAGGTGCGTTGAGCAGCCTGGAGCAGGACACAGGGCATCCCAGGACATGGTGGGGAGGCAGGATCAGGTACACTGGGGAGCTTTGATGGGATGTGACTTCTGAAGTGTGTCTCTTCTCCAGGGCGCTGCGTCCTCCAGGGTGGTTGCCCCAGTGGCACTGTGGAGTCAGAGTTGTCTCCAGCAAGAAGCTGGTTGGATTTATCAGTGCGATTCCAGCCACTATCCACATCTATGACACGTGAGTGCTGCTTGGCTGCATTTCTCGTCCTACCCCTTGATGGCATGTGGGGCTTCCTGGGAGCGCTGAGGAGGTCTGGCTATGTTGTCCTCCTCAAACAGCCAAGCCAGACTTACGCTGTTCAGCCATGGAGATGCTTTGGTACTTGGAGGAGAAGGTGGGGGATATTTAAGGTGGGCAGTGAAGTTCTGTGCAAAGACATCTTGTAGTTAGCAGCCGTGAAGGCTGTTTTCCTCAAAAAGTGAGGTCAGCTTAGAGCTCTGGCTTACATAAATCCTCCAGGGCTGGATGGAGACCATTTCCCTGGGAAAACCTTGAGTAACAGCTTAAGGGAGAATTCTCCAAACCCAGCCCTTGCCCCTTTGGCCTTCCCCAAGGCTTTGACTCCTCTTTCTGTTGAAGGGGCTGGAGGTAAATTGCCCAGGGCGTTGGACTGATCCTCCTAGGTCAGGACAGTTGGGTCTCATGCTCTGCATTGTTTCTTTCCCAAGAGAGAAGAAGATGGTAGAGATAAACTTCCTGTGCGTCCACAAAAAGTTGCGCTCAAAACGGGTGGCTCCAGTTCTGATCCGTGAGATCACGCGGCGGGTTCATCTGGAGGGGATCTTTCAGGCTGTTTACACTGCGGGAGTGGTGCTGCCAAAGCCTGTGGGGACTTGCAGGTGAGTGTCTGTGGTTCTCCAAAGAGATTTCTGTCTGCAGACCTTCCCTTGCTGAGAACCCTTCTGTGGCATTTAGCATGTGTGGTATTCCCTGCGACAGGAGAGATGAATTCCAGCCCAGGTTTCTCCTCCCCACACTGTCCTTCCAGGATTAAGTCCAGTAGCTTTGCTTAAGCTGCTCATATATCACAAGACAGGAGACTTTCTGCAGCACAAGTGCTTCAGGCCGCCCTTGTTTTTCGCTGCAGGAGCTGCTGGCCTCTTCATGAGCTGGTGTGATGTTCTCGCTTGCCCTCTCATGGCAGCTACGAGAACCTCGTGCCCGTGCAGCTGTCCTGCTGCCCAAGAACAAGTCTCCCACCGTGTGTTTCTGCAGGTACTGGCACCGGTCCCTGAATCCTCGGAAACTCATCGAGGTCAAATTTTCTCACCTGAGCAGGAACATGACTATGCAACGTACCATGAAGCTTTACCGGTTGCCCGAGGTGGGTGCCAGCCGGGGCTGTGAACCACGAAGGCAGAGCTCATGAATTGCTCCTCGCTGAGCAAGGGGTGAGGCTGGGAACTGGAGACAGAAATGTCTCGGCCGAGGTCAAGTCCTCTGCCTGGAGAACTCGGGTTTGTTTCATGTAGTAAATGACTCTGTCAAGCCATTGCGCTTTATTTAATCTTTATTTATTTTTGCCTGGGTACCTGCATTTTAAGGGCAAATTCTTGCACCTAGAGGACCCTGTGAGCTTTTGTTTCATGGTGAGTCATATCCTGTCCTGGTAAAACGAGAACGCAGATATGACAGCCTTCATCTGTCCAAACACAGCCTCGGAGTGACCTTGAATTTAGTTAGTCCCTCATTCTTCAGTCAAACTGATCGGTTCTGTCACTGCAGTTGTCCTGCTGGGGAAGTTCCCCAGCTGGATATGGGAGAAAAAACAAACAAAGCATTAAAATTGCCACCACCTTCCCCGACCTTGTTGGCTTCCTTCTGTCGGTCAGAGTTGCTTGTTTCGGTTGGAGAGCGCTGCTTCAGTGCTGGGCAGCACATGGCTCCTGTCTCCTGCCTCCCGCCGCAGCAAAGGCACCAGCTGCTGTTTTGTACTTGCCGATTTCTGCGCAGAAACCCAGACCCAGAAGCAGTGCATGCTGCTTGATCTGGGCTTTGCTGAGTGATCCCAACCGTAGATTAGAAATCGAGTCCAACTGGAAATAACATCAGGTGCTTCCTTGTGGTGCCTGGGGCACGTCTCCCACCCTGTCCCTGCCGCGAGCGGGAGCAGAGACCTGGAGTGAGGCAGAGATCTTGTGTCGTTAGTGGGTAGGAGGCCACTTCCAGTGGGACTTGACCTGGCACGTGGGGCTTTGGGACCCGCTGTGCTTCTCTGTGGTCTTTGCCATCAATGTCATGGCCAATCGCATCCATTCTTCTGCCAGGCAAGCAGGGCTGGGGGGAAGAGTGCTGGGTTGTGGGACTGAAAATGGGCTGATCTAAGCAGAGAGTGTCTCTGTGCCACTTGTTGGAGAGCCCTTGGGTGATAAAAGCCACCGTGCAACCAACAAAAATGATTTGTCCTGCTTTCTGTAGACTCCCAAGACTCCCGGCTTGCGGCCAATGGAGAACAGAGATATCTCTGCAGTGCACAAGCTCTTGACCGATTACCTGAAGCAGTTCCACCTGACGCCTGTCATGAGCCGAGAGGAGGTGGAGCACTGGTTCTTACCTCAGGAGAACATCATTGACACCTTTGTGGTAGAGGTGAGGGAGCAGGAGCAAGACAGTGGGGTATTTTCCTGGGCTTCTGCCTCCACTGGAAGAGTGTGCAGTGAGCTGTGGGAGTGATTGGGGAGGTTGCTGCCCTGGACAGTGAAATGCTCTTCCAGGGTGGGAGGGTTGAGCTGCTGGAGGATGGTGCCTCTCCATTCTGGGCTGCCCCGAGTCTCCTCGCAGGGAGCCCACACATCACTCAGACTGGCAGAGCCCCTGTAAGGCTCTGGCCGGGCTTTATCCTGGCTCTGATGTGTTGCGGTGTCACTTCTGGCTTCCAGAGCGCCCCAGGGGAGGTGACAGACTTCCTGAGCTTCTACACGCTGCCCTCCACCATCATGAACCACCCTACTCACAAGAGCCTGAAAGCTGCTTACTCCTTCTACAATGTTCACACCAAGACACCTCTCATCGACCTCATGAGTGATGCTCTTATACTCGCCAAGTCGGTGAGTGATGGCAGGGCCAGGGCAGCACCACTGGGCAGCTCACCGCTCGCCTGACCACCCTTGGGTTTGTGGGGAGGGCCAGCCATGGGGCAGGGCTTGTACCCAAGGATGTACAAACCCAAATCCTAAAGGATCCGCTGCCCAGGAGAGGGACGCAGGGGTAGCCTGAACTTTCCAGCTAGCATTGAGCTGAGCTCAGGGTGTCTACTCATTTCTTACAGCAAACAATATTGCCATATGTCCGTAGCACTTGAGTTGAGGGTGGGTACGCCGATGCCGAGTTCTTCTCTGGCGGTCTCGGTCCCTTCTTGGGTTGCAAGGCTGGGCAGGAGAGGAGGCAAGCAGGTCATGGATGGGAGGAACTCCCTAGCACGTAAGCAGGAGGAGCTGATGGCTTTGTGTCTTGCCCATGCAGAAAGGATTCGACGTCTTCAATGCACTGGATCTCATGGAAAACAAAACCTTCCTGGAGAAGCTGAAGTTTGGGATTGGGGACGGGAACCTGCAGTATTACCTGTACAATTGGAAGTGTCCTAGCATGGCACCAGAGAAGGTCAGTGCCTTGGGGTGGTGGGGTCCTCCAGCCCAGCCAGTGCACGGGAAGGGGTCTTGTCTCCACAACCCCCAGGGAGATGAGTTTGCTGTCACAGACACCTTGGTGTTCCCAGGCTAGCCGCTGTCTGGTGCAGTGTTACACACAGTAACAGGTGAATCCAGTGATGGCTCCTCTGTGCTTTCCCCGCTATGCCTGCACAGAGGGTGTCCCTGGGGAAAAGCACTCGCCACTTGTCTCCCCAGGCTCATTTTACTCTTGGACTAGTGCAGGTTCAGAGTCCTTTACCTCGGGCACATCCGCACGGACGACCTCTTCCCTCTGTGGAAGGAGGCCAGGTACAGAGAGGAGACAGGCAGAGGGCTGCAGGGTGACAGATGTGACACCAGCAATTGCGACAGTCACCTGGGAGGTGGTTACTGTGCCCTGCAAGCCCGTGCCGGACCTGGATGTCACTGCGCAGCCCTGCAGCCTGCGTGTCAGTCTGTTGTGGTGGGGTGAGACGAACAACAACCCCTCTAGAGAGAACAGACGCGCTCAAGAGCCATTGGGTTGCTGTTGAGCAGGACCCCGTGATGATGGGGAGCTCTGCCAGCATGGTCGCCTGTAGCATGTGCAGAGGGGCTGAGCCACGGGATTGCAGGGGTGTCACCTTGTCCCTACAGCCAGCAGATCGCTCCCCACCCAGCTGCTCCAAGTGCTGCAGCTGTAGACACCCCATCTGCCTGCCCTGGGCCATTTTTAGGCAGCACCCGGTTGCTACTGTATCTCCACCCTGAAGATGTGGTCCAGCATCTGTCCAGTCCACAGCCATCTTGGAGAGGACAGTGCTTGAGAGCCAGAAGCTGCCTGGCTGCATCAGCGCTGCAGCCTGCCTGTGCTATGTCACAACAGCTAATTAATGCTTTAACAGCAGTAATGGGGCTTTGGTTCCCCCTTTGCAGAGTGTGTGAAGCCAGGTCTGCCTCTGTGGGTACAAGCCCACGTGCCTTAAACCAGCCTTGCCCTGCTGCTGAGCCTTTCAGAAAGCTCCAGGAGGTTGCCGGAAGGTTTCAGCAATCCCTTTTCTCACTGGGAGAGGTGGTGGATTGGAGAGCCTGGTGCAGGGAGCTGCTCTCCGGCCATACCCTGTGTTGGGGCTGCCAGTGGCTCCAGCGGGTCGGAGCCTGGGACCAGCCACCAGTGCGTCCTATCATGCAGTGGCCAGAGAGCACTCAGCAGTGCCAGCTGCCTGCAGCGGGGCCTGTCCTGGTACAAGGCTCTCAGGAAGCAGCTTCTCCGAGATCTGTTAATAGCTTAGAAACAACCTTGGCTTGTAAATCAAGGCTGTCTTGCAGACTGCCCAGGCTTGTTACACCCCAAACATCGGTCACCTCCCCAGACTGGAGCTCGGCAGGATCTGTGCACTCATTTGGCTGCACACCCAGGGCTCTCTGTGCTCCCAAATATCCCAAAGCTGGTGGGAAAACTGACGCAGATGGTGCTGAGCCCTCCCAGCCAGCACGGTGAGGGCTTGTGAACTGCATCTGCCTGGAGCTGGCTCTGGGGCAGAGGATGCTGGTGCTTGGCACATCTTGACCTGGTGTCTCTGTTGGCTCCCCCAGGTCGGACTGGTGTTGCAGTAAGCGAGCCCTTGCCAGGAGAGCGCGCTGCCGCCGAGGAGCCAGGCCCAGTGAAGGTGCTGCCCTCGTCCTTTCCGCCAAAGCCAGACCTACGCCGGGAGAGGTGGAACCGAACCAGCCGCACAGCCACCCACCGCCTGGATTCACCGACCGTGTCCCGCAGCGCCGGCCGCCGCTCCCCCGCTGGCATCAGCGGTCTCCTTTGTTTTGATTTAATTGCATCCTCGTAAAGACGTGATCAAGGGAATGTAACTGCTGAAACTAGCTCATGATTGGCATATAATGGAGTTAACGGGTGAATAATAAAAGTATATATTATATATATTTTAAATCTTTCCTGTTCCAAACTGACATGAGTTGCATTCGTCTGCTGAAGGCCACCTCCAGGTTGCTGGACCGTGACTTTTCTCAACGGGGCCAACCAAGGTAGATGCTTACTGCGCCGAACAGCTCAGCACCGGCGTGGTGGAGCACCGGGATGCGGTGGCCAGGCTGCCGAGCCCTCCTGCCTGCCTGGAGGGTGTTTTGGGCTCTGTCCCCTGCTTGGCTGTTTTCCCCCAGTTTGCTCACTCGTCCGTTAAACTCGGTCCTTCCCGCGGGTGCCTGGAGAGGGAGGATGGCACCATCCCTCCCCGCGAGCTTGGGAGCACGTCGAAATTTCTAAGGGCTATTTGTGCAAGCGATGCCTTGTCCCTTCTCCTCCCCAGCCTCAGAGACTTGAACCCTCTCTGCTCAATGAGGCAAGTGCTGAACTGAGGAGCAGCAACACCCGAAGACACGGGGGGACTTGGCTCCTCGCTGCCTCCGGAGCTCATCCAGCACACCCCGCTCTGCTTGGACTCCTCAGGGTCATTCATCTCCACCACCCCTCATGACACTGGGGCTGTGGGCACTGGGGGGATGATCCATCGGTGCTGCCGCCCCTCAGGGCTCTCTGCTCAGCTGCTTTTCTCTGGAAGCATGGAAATGCGGATACACATGCAAGTGACTGCCCTGCAACATGCCATCGGCATTGCCCCAGGGCTTCAGCCTCTCCAGCCAGCCCAGTGCCTCTTCCACCAGGCTCATCATCTTGTGCTGTGGGAACCTCTGAGGTAAAGGAAATGTTTTCTTTCATGGAAAACCTTTATTGCATCAAGATATCTTGGCAAACAAGCGCCTGGGCAGCCTGCTGCCTCCTACCGTGATGTGAACCGTGTCCATGAAGAGCTCTTGAGATGCTCCAGCCCTCCCAGCCAAAGGTTTCCAAAGCTGCACACCAAGGCCAAGACCCCATCTATGCACTCCTGCGCCTCCCTGTCCCTCTGTGCCCCTGCTGTGCCCCGTGGTACACCATGGACCCCGAGGGCCTTTGCCCACCCCGGTATGGACGTACGGGGCCTCAGTGGGGGACCAGGAAGCCCAGTCATGTGTGGCCCCCAGCAGCGCCATCGCATCTCCCCTGCTCAGGGTCCCCTGTCACCTATGCAAGTACCTCTGCATCCCCTCCTGTGTCCCCAGTGTCCTGGGCTGGGGGAGGCTGAGTGTGGGTGGGGGGGCTGTTTGGCGGGACCCTTCCCCTGTCCCCACGGCAGTTTTGCAGGCTCCTCCAATGAGCACCACCCTGTCCCCCATGGGTCCAGCACCCATGGGTGCTTGGCACCTCCCCGGGGCAGTGCTGCATTTGGGGGTGGGCTCAGCACTTATCCCCCCAGACTTTCCTCCCCACACCCCCCCAAGGGGCCCCAGGAGGTGACAGGGACACGGGGACAGGCTCTGTTAAAATAAAACCTTTATTCGACTGGCTAGACATTGGGGTATAAATCTGTGACCGTCACTGGTGCTGGAGCAGGGGTTGGGAACGTGGCCCCCAGCCAAGCAGAGGCTCGACACTGTGGGCATGATGGGGCACATGGTGGCTGGGTCCCCTCGGGGACTGCACGGTGGCAGGATCTCCTTGGGGACCTCATGGTGATGGCACTGTCCTTGCAGCCCAAAGTGGGGGCTGGGATTGAGTATGGCCGGGGGTGGTGACGTATGGGGTTGCTGTCACCTATGTCCCCCCCCCCCCCCGAGCTGTGCTGGGCTTTTGATGGCCCAGCCACCCTGTCCTGGTTGTCACAGCATCTCTGTCCCCTCGGGGTCACAGCCAGGGAGGGGAGGAGTGGGGCATGCAGGCCAGCAGATGGGTTGGCACTATGGGATATGGAGGGGGTCCCCTACCTCCTTGGGTCCCCCAGTCAGCCCTGCTGCAGCTGCGGCTGGGTGAGCGGTGTCCCCAGGCTGTCCCTGCACAGGGAGCAGGGTGTCTCTGGCGCAGGAGGGTGCCCACCCCATGAAGGAACATGTTGTCCCCTGCACGGGGACACGATGTCCCTCCCATTGGGACCACAGGGACCTCACAGGCTCTTGCATCGAATGTGCACGAAGAGCGTGGCGGGGGACAGGGACGCCCCGTCCTTGGAGAGCAAATGGATGAGACGGTAACCTGGGGGCAGAA